CATACACAGAAAAAGCTGACAGGGAAATCAAGCTTATGGAATCACCTCCCGTTCAGTACCAAGTGTATTCCTTAGCAATAAAAGTGATTTTGGCAGTGTGGGAGGTTAATATGCAGTACCCATCAGAGTGCCAGTGTAATCTGTGTTTATAAGGCAAAGCACCAATAAATTAGGTCAGCACATGAATCTTCTGAGGGAGGAAGGAGAGGGAGAGCAGGAAGACCTGGGCAGGAAGGCCACAGGGGCCAGGTAAGGCATGTGATGCCCCCAGGACTTGCAGCATCATAGACAGAGGCTCTCAGCTAAAAGAAAATCCATTTTGCCATTAGAAGTAACAATAAAAATATTACACTGATTCAAAGTGTGCAATCAGGCCTGACTTACAGCTTGCCCTGCTGCATTCAGGCTTTACATCAGAAGGCTGTAAACTGTTATAGCAGAAAATAATAGCTGGGTATGTTTACTCACCCAAAACCATGCTTCATTTATTTACCTGAATACACTATCACGTACACTGACCATTGTTGCTGCTCAGCCAGGTAGGCAGACAAAAATGGGGAAAATAAATATCTACACAGATTTCAGCAGCAGATAAGGTATTAATTCTTGCACAAAACAATGAAGAAATGCCAGGACATACGACAGTAAGCCCTCCTGAATTCTTGACTGTATTATTCAATAAAAGCAAAGGTAGAACATGCAAAGAAGTGCTGAATGCCAATTTGTAATACCAAATTAAGAAGCCTGTTAGATCCGAAGCAATCCTGGCTTGTGATTGCAGCAATTCAAAGTGAAATTCCCAATAACATTCAAGTACTTCAATAAAAGAGAGGAAAGATTTCAATTCAATGACCAAAAATAAAATAAAGAGTTGATGTAAATGACTTGATTTCATTTATATTATTGAAATGAGCTGTATGCAATGACTTATTGATGTAATAATATTCCATTAGGAACTTATTATTTTCTTGTTTACATAATGCCAGCAATTACAGGGGTAATACTGGTCCAACACACAGCACAGCAGAAATAGAAAGTTCTTTGCCACATATTGGAATTCCACATGAAGGTGTAGAGTTTAGTTAAGGAGAAATATTTAAATATTCCTTACTATGACCAAGTTAACTTGCAAAATTAAATAAACAGCTATCTTCTAAGAGTTGGCCAGATCAGGCATGATTGCAAAGACCCTGTGGCTCTATGCACATGAGTTTGGTACTTAAAAGCCTGTTTGAACAATAATCAGCAGTCACCAAAAATTTTGGGGGTTTTATCAAGACTTGAAGGCAAATATTTGAAGCCAGAGGAGGTAACTTGCATGCAAACATTGCACTGGAAGGGAAGGGGCCAGGGTCTCACAGTACATGGACAGGAATGTAGGGCTGAGCTGGCTGGACAGAAATCCCCATTTCTTCCCTTGCAGCAGAAAAAGGGAACCCTTCCCTAGCAGGGCTGGATCACACAAGCCCCAGATCCCAGCACAAGCATGAACTCTCTGGCACCAAGCCCACACTTGCCATGGGCTAGCAATGAGGTTGTCCTGGGGAGCTGCACTAGCCCTGGAATACCTCAGACCTGGTCCCTGAGTCTGCCTGCCACCCGCCACCCAATTTCCAGGCTATCCTGACCTGCAGCCCAGCTCCTGGCTTCTCCCAGTGGTTTCACACACCAACAATCTGAGGCTTCCTCACAAGCCACCTGAGCCCTCCCAACGCAGCAGCTCCTTCTGTTCCCACCTCCCTGGCCAGAGCACCAGGCTCTCTGCCAGCCCCACGGGGCCACCAGCAGGAATGCCAGTGTGAGACTGGCAGCAATTTTGTGTTCCCAAACATGATTTAGGGAGGTGAGAGGGCACAGTGACTCCGGGACAAGAGCAGGGCTGTGTTCTTGCAGCTGCTCCTGGGAAAGGTGTGTAAGAAAAGAGGTGGGCTGACATCCTCCTGGTGGGATGGGCTGCAGGGGGAACCCACAGGGCTTTGGGGAGAGCCAGCTGAGCTCTGCCTTCATTCCCTTGGCTTCACCAATCTCAGCTTAGAGGCACAGAGGGGCTGTAACACACTGCTGGTGCTGATCATTACCAGCCTGCGGGCCAGGGGAAGAAAGGCTCAGGAAACAAGGAATTATGCATTTCCCATTGTCCAAAGCAAAGCTACAAGCTCACTCTGTGCCAGAGTCCACCAACTGGCCAGTGCATCTTACTTCACAGATGACCAACCAGTGGCCAAAGGCATTTGTAGATACTGAGGTTGAGAAACGCAGAGACATAAGACAGATCTCTTTTCATCTTTTATTCACATCTCTGAGGGCACTTTGGTCTGGCCAAAACTTGTCCACAAAGGCCAGTTACAGAGGAAAGTACAGTACATCTACCAATCTCACATCCTGAGATAAAATTCAAATGTTGAAAAGACTCAAGGAATAAACAGCTTGTAGAAAACAGGGAGATTCAGTTTACAGGCAGACACAATTTAGATGAAACCATATTTAACTAAATAGCCAACATACACTAAAGGTCACACTGATAAAAACAAAAACATGTCATCTAGAGGAATTAGTTTTTGTTCAGAGTATTGTCATTTTCACCTCTTGAAAGTCCTTTAATTAACTACATCTAGTTGCTTGCATTATATTACAAAGCCAGTCTCCCTTTCATTGTACAGCTCTTACACATGGAGTTACAACGTTTGACATAATGTTCTTTTACTGTAAAGTAAATTCAAACAACTTTAACTTAAAGAACTCATTTAAGTAATTTTCAACTTTCTCAGCAGACCTGTTCAGTTTCACCCTCATGTAACACCATAGGCCTAAGTTTTAGTAGGGCCAACACTAAGAAAATGCAGCTAAAATGTGCAACCTACAAATTGTACTGTTCCTTGCTAAAGGAGATAAAGTGTTATATTATCTATCCCCACTTGAAGTGCTACAAACAGCTCCGACCAGAACTCCTTAAAAAGCCACAGTAAAGTGTAACTTAAGTGATACACAGGGAACCACATACCCTGCACTCACCCCTGGCTGGCTTCTGCTGCCCTCCTCCATCAGCCACAAAGCCAGCTGTCCAGAAAGCCTTTGTCCAAGCTGATCTTGGTGAAAAAAAGTGGGAAAAGACAGAAAGCCTGGCTTCTGGCTCTGCAGCAAAATGTTTTTCTGTGACTAAGTGCACCTGTACTTGAAGGATCAGGGTGTATCTCTGGACCCTGGGACTACAAAGTCTCCCTACTCCCTAGGACAACAAATTTTGTCTCTCCACAAAGGTGCAGAGTAGTCCCTAGGATCATGGCACTATTAGGTCTTCTTTTTTTTTTTTTTTTTTTTTTTTTTTTTTTTTTTTGTATATCAATGTTTTTTTCCTGCTGGAAAGTCAGTGATTTCCCTTGTGCAAAACCTGGTGACACTGTAACACTGCACAGATGTGCTTCACAGTGCAAAGCACTGGGATCTGCAGAAGTGCCAGTAAGGGAACAGTGCTGGATGGAGCCTGGTGGGTGAGGAAAGACTTTTTGAGTGGAGGAAATACTTTGATGTGGTTTAATGCAGGGAAAAATTGACTGCCATATTCAGAAGGGAGATGATTCTGTGGAAAGGTGGTGGTGGGTTGGGGTAAGCACTCCATCTTTCTCAGTCCTCCTACAGCCCAACTCAACAACCTACTATGGACCACAGAATCCAGGGAAACACTGTCCAAAGACAGACATCTGAGCTCCCCAGAAATCAGACATGATCACCTGAAGAACCAGGAACAGCTTGTTCCTCCCTCCAGAGTGCCCTCGCTCTCAGCTGCCAGCAGCACTCTCCGGGCTGTGCTAGCCCGATGGCCACTTCCATTAGCCCACTGGGCCACCAGCCAGGGAAGCGGGCAGCAGCTGCGGGGCTGGATCTCGGGTTAGACAGGCCGGCTGCTCCGGGGGAAGCGGGCTGAGCCTGCCGGGCGCGGGGCGAGCTCAGCGGGCGATGCGCGCTCGCCAGCCCGGGCGGTGCCGGAGCGGCAGCGCCGATCCCAGCCCGGCACCGCCGCCAGCGCAGATCCCTCTCTCCTCTGCCGCTTCGCTTTTTTTCCCCCTTTATATATATATTTTTTTTTCCCAAACCTTTGTGGAACAGACGCCCTCTCCTTGCCCCAGTTGGAGCTGCAGTAGAATGAAAAGAAGGGGGGGGCGGGGGTGGGAACGAGGGAGGAGAGGAGGGAAAAAAAACCCTCTTTTGGTTGAGGTTTTCCTGTTACTATCACTGTAGCGTTTATTTAGCCAATCTCCTAACTATGACGTGAGGAAGGCAGGAATCATGGCTCGCTCATAATATTTAACACACCCACTGAAAGCTGGAGCTGCAGAGCTACTAGTCCAACCAGTCTCCAGAATTCAGTGTAGCTGAAAGAGGTTTTCACTCTGCACCTGCCAAAGATCTCTCCCCCCTTTTCCTTCTCTCCCCCCTTCTCTCTTCCATTCTCGCTCTCTTTAAAAGAAAGATCTGTAAGACCCAGCAGAGATCAAAGACCTCTTCGCTAAAAAGAACCTCTACTGATTTATATTAGTTTCTTTCCTCTAATCCTTCCTTCTCCCCCCCTCCTTTTTTTTTTTTTTTCTGTACCATATTTAACCTTTATGTTGCAGTTGTGCCATCAGACAGTTTTGCAGCCAAAAAAAACCAACACAAGCCAAAGCACAAGCCCAGCTCGGATACAGCAGCCACCCAGACTCGATCTCAGTTGAACTTACTAATCTCTCCCAAGCACTGGACGTGATGGATGAAGAAACTGGAACTGCTCTAAGAAAATGATTTTCCAGCCAATGTTCTTAAAGAGTCTGAGAGAAGAGAGGGAGCAAGAGCGAGCGGGGAGCGCTTCTGCTGCATCACTGCTCAAATCCAAGGGAAAGGAGTCAGCGTTTCCAGCACAACCAAATATTATGGATGATTTTTTTTCTTCTGTCGCCTTTCCGTACAGGTTTTCTTAATATTTTTTATTTTCCCCTTCCTCCTCCCCATATTTTTTTTTTTAAATTTTATTTAATCAGCGCCTGTGTCTGATGCCGGTTTCTCTCCGAGAGCCAGTTTTCCCTGTTTGTCGTGATCCCTGTAATAAAAAGAGGGAGAAATCGTGAACAGATGGCTTTCTATATTACCATGCCGCTGGCATTGTTTTCCTGTTGATTTTAAAGGCTCGGTCCGGAGCTCCTTTTTTTTTTTTTTTAAAATTTTTTTTTCCCTTTTATTTTTTTTTCCCTCTCCCCTCCCAAGTTCTTGATGATACTGAGACATGAGGACCTATCGGGTTTAGCCTGTTTATTTCCCGGCGCCTATGGAGGTAACTTTATTGACTTGATCGCTCGCTTGCCGACCCGAGAGGAGCACGCCGGAGTCCCGGGGGGGGCCCGGCAGCCCCGCGCCCGCCCGGGCTCTGTCCGCCGCCTCCCCTCCCTCCCCCTCCCCCGCTAATTCATCAGCCGCCCCGGCCATGAAAATGCTCCTGGTCCGCAAGTTCCGGGTGCTGATCCTGATGGTGTTCCTCGTCGCCTGCACCATGCACATCATGATCGACCTGCTGCCGCGCCTGGAGCGCCGCGGCCCCGAGGGCCGGCCGGGCTGCTCCTGCCCGCCGCCCGCCGCCGCGCCGCCCCGCGCCGCCGCGCCGCGCTGGCCCGGCAAGCACACGCTGCGGATCCTGCAGGACTTCAGCGCCGAGCCGGCCTCCAACCTCTCGTCGCAGTCGCGGGAGGCGGCGGAGCGGGCGGCGGGCGGCGGAGCGGGCGGCGGAGCGGGCGGCGGGGGCGCGGCGGCGGCGGCGGGGCGGGCGCGGCGCTTGATCGGCCCCGGGGCGCCGCGCCCGCCGCCCCCCGCCGGCAACGCCGCCCCGCTGGCCGCGCTCTTCCAGCACCCGCTGTACCGCGCCGCCCTGCCCCCGCTGGCCGACCGCGACCTCCTCTTCAATGTCAACAGCGACATCAGGTTCAACCCGCGGGCGGCCGAGCAGCCCGAGTGGTGAGTGGGACGGGGGGGTGGTGGGGATGTGGCGCGTCCCCCGGGTCGCTGCCCTTCGGAGGGGAACGACGGCTTTGGGGTGGAAGGTTGAACGGAGCGTTTCGGGGTCACCGGGAAAAAGAGCAGCCGTTCGCAGGCTCGCCCGGCCGTGTTCCTTCGGGAAATGAATGCCCCGAAATGCAGAATAAACACGGGAGTAGGGGAAGGCTGGAGCGCTGAGGCCAAGGGGTCGGTCTGCCCCATCTCCAGCTGCAGCCGAGGCTGATGCTGCCAGAAGAACGGTGTGAGGAAGAGGGTGAGCTCACAGCGAGCCTTCCTCTCCAGCACCTTCCCAGAGCTGAAGGGGCTGAGCAGTGAGGCCAGACAGTAATACATTAACCCTTCTCAAAAGCAGGCTCTAGTGCCACAAAGGCATTCATCCTGGCAGGTATTTCCGCTTTCAGGATCTGATCTGTGCTACATTTTTCATCCTCAATTAATTCCCAGTGCCCTGCACCTCCGCTGCTCTCCAGCCTTCAAAGCAGTCAGTTGCCTCTGTGAATCGTATGCCCTGTTGGCTCCTAAGAAATGCTGAGAAATTCAATGACTGAAAAATCAAAAGGGTTGTCTAATACAACAGCACCCTCTTCCAAACACACTGACATTGTAATGTTTAAACAGCTGCATTGTACCGTGCAAAAGCTCTGTCAAGCTGCAGAGCAGCCAGCATGATCTAAACCTTTAGAAAGAGAGGATAAATAATTCTGATTTCCACCCTATGAGCATGTGAATTGTCCAGGCCCGTTCCATCTATTAATCCTAACTGACTGTGAAGGGAAATAACCTGGAAAGTTTTGGGGTCTCTGAAAGAAGAAGGAAAAATAAAAAAAGTCACAAATGCCTGAACATCTGGAGATGACTGTAAACACAGAGAACTCTGGATCAAAAATATGGGTTAGTCCGTTCAGTAGGCGAAGAGTGAAATCAACACTGATATTCACAGTGCAGCTGCCTGTTGTACATATTTTCCTTAGTGGCTGCAGCCAAGGTTCACAGAACTAAAGTGAAATTCAGAAGGTAGTGATCATTTTAAATAATTCTTTGCTGTGGTAGGTTCCTACTGCTCGGGAAGGGGTACGACCAGCCAATTCCTCTGACTGCCACTTCAGAGTGATGCAGTTTCTCTCATTCTCCCTCTTTAAGGAGGAGGAGGGACTGGGCACCACAGCTCAGGTTCTGCTGCACTCTTGGTTTCCTGCCTCATGTCCCTGTTAAATAAAGGTTCAGGACAATGCTGTTATTTGAACCAGACCTGCAGAAGCTGTGTGCAGCATAATGGGACCTAAACACAAGTTAAAACTTGAGCTCTGTGTTTGTGCTATAGAAGGGCCTGTGCCAACGCTCAGTGATGCCCCTCTGAGTTTTGCTCCTGACTTTCATGGGTGATAAGTCAGGCAGGATGAGGGGAAGTGGGAATCCATCTCCCCCTGGCCCCAAGTGAGACAAGGCTCCTGGTGCAGGGAGGAACCTGGGACCTCTCTCCCTTCTGTAGCGCCTTGCCTCTCCAAGTTGTCACATTTTGAAGCCCTATTTCTCGATGTGTGCTACAAACTGTAACATTATTTCTTTCTCCTCAACTTTGGGTTTTTGTTGTATTGTTTTTGGTGGTAGGCAAAATGAAGATCATCATGAAGAATTTTTGCCAACTGGAGAAACCTCCATAGACTCCTACCCAAACTGGTTAAAATTCCACATTGGCATTAATCGGTATGAGCTGTATTCCAGACATAATCCTGCAATTGAGGCTTTACTACAAGACCTTGTCTCCCAAAAGATAACCAGTGTTGGTATGTTTGGATATTTTTTTTTTTACCATTATTTGCTCTTTGTTCAGGATCTCACTGCTGTTTGAGTATTAATATTTTGCATGGCTTCTCTCCAGCATCCCTGCAACTTTGCTTTCCTACTTCCCTGCTCATTTTCCCTGCTAAACATAAAGAGATATTGCCAGCTCTGTATTACCTGAATAATTGCCAAGCCTCCCAGCAAGGCAAACCCCGTTCATGTCAGAGATCCTTTAGTCACAATCAGGCTGAAAGTGCCCTCTTCAGTTATTTAAAATAAATACTCTGACAAAAAAAAAAAAAGGATGGCAGAAAGCAGACAGCATCTTGCACGAGCTAGCTTTGTATCAGTGGCTGATTATTATTTCAAAGGCTGTGCCTGGCAGCCCTGCCTTGCCGAGGGAGGAGAGGCTGCCCTGCAGCCCTGCTGCGGCGGCAGCGCTGCGGCTGCAGGAGCTGCAGCTTCCCCAGGCATGGCAGGCAGCTGCGGGCAAGCCAGCCTCCTGCTGAGCACAGCTCTGCCTGCTCTGCCTGTAAATCCTCACCAGGGATGTGCCCATGTCAGCCTTTGGCTCTGGTTAAACAAGGTGACGCCGTGCGAGGCTTTTCTCCAGCCTTGTTTAATGGCAGCGTGTGTCTTCTTGAATTTAGCTGCGTAGCTGCACAGGGAAAGAAGTGGCACAACCTTAGATGAAAGCCATGGGATACTAAACAAGTGCACACCCCATGGTTTCCAAAGGTAGGGAGTTGCAGCACAGGCAGTGGTTTCCATCCACCGGGCAGAAAATGGAGTTACTTGTGCTGACCACAGAGTTGCAAAGTCCCTTTCAGAGGGATGAAATAGCAGGAGCTCTGTGAAAGTGCTGATGGTGTGTTGGCCCCGTGGGATGAGGTCAGCAGGTCTTTAACCCTGCAAGGCAGAAATTCCCCTGGCTTCAGCAGGAAATGGTCTGGGCAAGAATAGCTCAAGCAGCCCTAAGGTTTACATTTTCCATTGTGTGAATCACGGCGGAATAAAGGAGATCCTAGGTCATCAGGAGTGGGCTGATTTAGGTGGTTGGGATGGAGTAGGTGTAAAATGCAAGATGCCACAGGAGACCTTCAGCCCTGTGAATCTGGCTGTGTGTTGGCTGTGCTCAGTGCACTGCTCTGCTGGAGCAGCACTTTGAATAAAGCAGTTTGTGGTACCCAGGTGCCATCCCACATGTTGGATTCAAGGCTCCAGTGGACTTGTAGCTCAGGAAAGAGGACAAACATGGGTTTATTCATTAACCTGTGATGGGTTTTCTGACCCCAAAAGTCTGGACTGAGGTGACTCATTAAGGGGGGGTCATGTTTGCTAATCTAGCCCTGTGTTTTCCCTTCCCCAGCACAGAGGTGACACTGCAGGTAGCAGCAGACTGCCCATGCTCCTCTGGTGTGCACTGGAGGGTGACGAGGGCACTGTATGGACACAGCCTGGGAGATTTTGCCCCAGACACAGCCCTCACCTTTGCTGACCCCATCCCTCAATACCCACCAGTTTTTGGAATGTTAGTGGCACATGCAAATGGGGGTTGAGCCAGCATTTTGTAACACACGTGTGAAATTGCTCCTTGGGCACATGCACTGAGGAGGGACAGATGCAGTCTGTGGCCATCCCTGTCCCCACAGAGAGCAGCAGTGGCCAGGCTGTCCCCAGAGGGGCAGAGGTGACGCCCAACCAAGGTTTGCACAAAGTGCAGTAGCTGTAGCAGTTTGTACCACATGGCTGCTGAGTATTGATCTTTACTCACCTCCCCAGCAGTCCAGAGCTCAGCTGCACTGTCTGTGCAGGAGGAGAGTGTCTGCAGCAAACTCAGTAGTGCTCGAGCCATGAAGTCTGTCCCTTCTGCAGAGCAGGGGGATGGATGAGGTGGCTTAGGGACATAGAAGCTGGTGGGAAAAAAAAAGGAGGTACAAACAAAAAATAGTAGTTTAGTGTTCACTCTTCACTTGATCTTCTGGGCTTGGTGTTCACTTGTGCTTCTGGGCATGTGGCTTCACCTCTCTCTGCTTCAGCTGGCCTAGCAGCAAAGAATTATTATCATAAAAAATGGGAGTGAAATCCTGACCCTGGTGACGTCAGTGGAAGTTTTTGCCACTTACTTCCCTGGGGCCATGATTTCACCAAATGTGTCATACAGATGTATCATGGGGTTTCCATTAATTCTGATTTTGATGGAGCTTTCTGATCACGGGGGAAAGGGCCCTGGGACCACAGAGGAAGATTTATGGTTGCTATTAGCAATTCCCTTTGGGATTGCCTCTGTTAATGTTTGAACAAGGCTCTTAAGAGCATGGTAGGGCCTCTTATGCCTCTAACAAAAACACAGAGCCATGGTTTCTTGCAATCAATCAGGATAATTTCCATAAATTAAACCATGAGGTGTATTTGGTATTGTTGTTGGCCGCTATGGGAGCTGACAGGGAATGGTTCCTACACATAAATCCCAGTCTAAAATCAAGTATATGGAAATGGAAGGGAACTTTGGCCAATATAGAGATGCCAGGATCTGAATTTTGGTGTTAGCATACACTGCCTGACCCTCTGGGGATTCAGGAGCTTTTTCAGCTTGCAAAGAAAGAAAGAGTATATTGCTAAAACACTTTTAAAAATTATTTTTTGCACAATGCAACTTCTCTTATTTTATGTTGCAAATTCTTTGGATGTTTAAAAATGTGTGTTTTAAACTAATTCCTGCCAGTTTTCAGCTTTACTGCAAAGCAGCAGAGGGATTCAAAAGCATGTAAGCTGATTAATAAAGGGTAATATAATTGACCAAAGGACATTTATAGGGCTGTTACATTCTTTGCATATTCCTGCTTATCTTCTAATTAGCCTTGCTTTTTTTTCCTTATGGTCATTTTTTACTAGGTTTTTTTTTTTTTTTTTT